CTAAGAATACTCTTTAAAGGTCCAATAATCACTGTATAAAGTGTTTTCTCGATATTCAGGACGAAAGTATGATATTTTTACGATTATTTTTTGGAGTCTGTGACGTCATACACTCAACATCAAACATTGCTACATATATTTCTTTGTATATAAATCCTTAATTGATTTTATTCCTATGAAGCCCAAATGGTGGCTAATGTGCTTATTTCACATTACTTGTGACTATAATTTATATTTTGGGGTGTTTGGGTATTTCTTTCTCCCTTTATATACTGATATTTTGATCATAAACTACGAAGAAATGTATGGAGCGATGTTCGAAGTTGAGTGTATGACGTCACAGACTCCAAAAAATAATCGTAAAAATATCACACTTTCGTCCTGAATATCGAGAAAACACTTCATACAGTGATTATTGGACCTTTAAAGAGTATTCTTAGGAAGTTTCAGCTGAATCCAAGTTTGAGCGATTTTCGTCGTAGTAGCACTTTAACTAATTATATAAACAACTTTTTTTTACGCTTGTCAAATAAAATCACTTTAAAATGAAATAAATTGTTAAAAGCAAGTTTAGTTAAAAAGCATATATATAAATGAAAAGAGTAGCTGAGACACGAAAATACATTTGTGATAAACACAAGGGTTAAGAGCGTTCGCTTGCATAATGCTCCACAAGGGAGGAGGGGCCCGGGATGGCTACCCTTTAACCGCCACTCAAGTGTGTAGTGAAAGACGTTGAATAATTCTTTTGAATTTTCCTTCATTTACTGCATAGGGAACTGTTGGAACTCCTGGAGCACCTGGTTTTGACGGACTTAACGTAAGTACACAACCTTTCTGACTAACAACTTTTCGCCCATCTATTTGCAATAAACACTGCTCTAAATTGAAGAATAATGAAGAAGAAGAGCTGGAGTTTACTGGTTTTTGTTTTTTGGCTTTCCACAAAAAATAACTTTGTGGAAGTAAATGAAGTTTTGTTTCTTTTTTGTTGCAGGGAGATCCAGGACAACAGGGATTAAAGGGCAAACCTGGTGTACCTGGCCTTGTTGGTCCACGAGGACCTGTCGGAAGCCCTGGAGAAACAGGACTGCCGGTAAGTCAGAATATAAACATGATGCCCTGTTCTTGTCTACCACTCTTTTCATTGCTATATCGAGACAACAGTCGCCACTTAGAAATCGTGCAATAATTAAGCCAGTTTATACTTTGAGGATCGTTTTCGGTGCGCATGCGATTTTATCCCGAATTTCTCACCTTTTTATTTGTTTAAACCTTCTTATGTTGTTAATTAAACAAAAGAAGGTGAGAAATTCGGAATAAAATCGCATGCGCACTGAAAACGAGTCTTAAAGTATGAACTGGCTTATACGCTGCCGTCAATCAGAGTATGTATATGTACCGAACAATTAATTTGATTGACGTTAGTATATTGCCTGTTTTGTCTGTCTGTCCGTTTGTTTTGCGCGTCTGACTAAATTATCTCATTTACACCTAGGGTGCCGTTGGCCCCAACGGTGCACCAGGTCTTCCTGGAACACCAGGAGTAAAAGGAAATCAAGGTGCAACCGGATCCCGGGGTCTTCCTGGAGAAACTGGACAACCGGGTGTTGTTGGCCCAACAGGACCTAAGGGCCAAAGAGGCGCGAATGGACGAGATGGTGAATCTGGTCTGCCTGGTGATAAAGGAAGCAGGGTAAGGTGAAAGTCGTGTAAGAACATGATGTTCACGTGGATTCAATGGTCGCGAAAGAGTTCTACGTCTAAGACTTTTGGGGACTTTATCTTTCAGTTTTAGGCCCTTGCTTAACGAGGAAACATGTTAACTGCTCGAATGTTTCCCCAATGTTTCCCAGTTTAGCCACATGCGAAATATTGCTGGGCACAAATTTTGCTTTCAAATTGCAATCATTTTTGTTCTTTACCCCAGAAAGATTTCATGTCTTCAAGACGCATGGAAACAATATTTCACGATGTTTTTTCGTTTACTCACGAAAGTCAACATTCTAAAAGTCGTTACTAGCAACGCTCGCTCTATCTTGTCAAAACAAGATGACGGACGAGGAGTTGAAAGTGCGCATGCGGTAACCGATATTGAGTAAACCTGACTTTTTTGCCACCTTTGGCAACATTTAATGAAAAATGTTTCTGGAAACATGTTTTATCGTTAGCCAGGGCCGTAGACGGTTTATGTTGCTTAGCTTTTGATCCACTCTTTATCCCTCTTTTGAGTGCTCCTTACAGCGTGGCTATTCATAATAGCAATGCTAGTTTTCCATCATCTCTACCGTTCTCAAATATCTGGTTTATCTAGAGGATGTCATGCTGGAAGCACTTTTCCTTTAATCATCGTCGTCGTTTTTTCTGACAGCTAATGCTGCTTTTGCAATGCTTATAGCACGTTGGAATGCAGCTCAATTTGGAAAACATAAGAACAGGTTTCAAATCCTAATCGTATTGAAATTCTTTCGTTTTGCCCTCCAAATTGACTCTGCATTGACGTCTCATGCAATTGGTCTATTTGTTTTGTTGCAAGCTTCTTTAATTGTGTTTGTGCGCGGAGATATCCTTAATAACCTTGTATATACAAGAAAGATAGTCCCACAGTGACATCCAAGTTAATGTAACTCACGTAGAATGCTACATTCTAAACATTGCATTTTTTTAAAACAGGGACCCCCTGGAATCATCGGTAAACCTGGATTACGAGGACCACTAGGTGCTCCGGTAAGTCTTTCCTATGCAACCACCTATGGACCTTGTTTGAAATCAGCCAATAAAATGGAGACAGGTGTTTAAATACCAAAGGAAGATCTCTTTCAGCACGAAATATTTAAAATTTGGATTTCCTTAACTTATACTACCCTCCCTTTTTCGTTTTCAATTCGTATTTCATGACCTTTTATTAGAGGAATTCCATATCTCTCTCTTGGGAATTGTAACTACGAAATTTCAAAACCTGTATAAAAGCAGATAATATCCCCACGACGTGGAATTACCTCGGATGTCTCAGATGACCACTTTAAATTGCGGTACCGTCTTTCCAGACTTCTTCATTGCTAACCAATACCGGAGGGAGGTAAAAGAACATCTGAGGATGTAAAGAAACCCTGGCAGTGACCATCCTCAGTGCCTACGCCTCGTGCTAACCATTTCTTATGATTGTAAATTGCATAAAAAAGCAATATGACATTCACAGTACCGTCTCTCCACACTTCATCATTACTAACCAATACCCGAGGGACGTAAAAGAACCACTGAGGACGTAATGAAACCCTGGCAGTGACCATCCTCACTGCCTACACCTCGTGCTAACCATCTCTTATGATTGTAAATTGCATTAGAAAATGCAATATGACATTCACAGCTCAATGTAAATCGCTTTCGATTATATCTATATAGAAAAACAAATTATTAAACATTATCATTACCTACATTCGTATTTTACTAGTAGAAGGGATTTTAAAATCTTGCTTTATATAACAGGGTGTTCCTGGTAATCCTGGTGCAGCTGGTCCTAATGGAGACAGGGTAAGTCTGATATAAAGAGTTCTATTTCAAATGATTACAATAGAGTATTAATTATTATTAATGCTATTGGTTTGTCTTGACAGGGACAACCTGGAAAACCTGGTGCCCCAGGACACAAGGGAGAGAAAGGCTCACAGGTAAGAGAGACCAGACCTATTTTAGTTTACAGTTTTTCAACAAAACGATCGCACATCAATGTTGTCGGACCCTAAAGGAAACAATGAACTGATTAGTTGAAGTTAGCTAGGACATAACACAGATTGTGGTCTCACAGTTTGAATTCTTATAAAAACTTTCTTTTTTTCACGAGGGTAACACTTAATAACCAGTGGCTAACAAACCTGTGGCCCTTATTCCGTGATCGAATTGGAATTTAGGAGTTGATTTTTGAGGAGGAGGGAGGAAAACCGGAGAACCCGGAGAACCCTTGAAGCACAGGAGAGAACCAACAAACAACTCTACTCATATACGACACCGAACTTGATTCTGATTAGACAAGAGAAGTACGATTAAATCCCAAATTGTACTCTGTAGAGTCCCAATTAAGTTTCTCAATTTTGTTGAGTGTATTATAAACAAAAAAATCGCATGATCTTCTGGTACAATCCGTAAACTTTCAAAACATCACTCGTACCTATAATTCCCATATTGTACTCGATATCGTGCAATTTCCTTATTACTGTTAAGTGTGACGTAATTCGAACAAAAAACGACTTTTTGTCCAAATTGATGATTACTCCTACAGACATTTTTCTATATATTTTTTTCTTTGTAGCAGGATTTTCTATTCATATATCTAATTGTTGAAGGTAGAGAATAAATCCTGGCAATAAGATTTTAGAGATATTTTGTGTGACTTGACCCGGAAATACGCCGCAGCTTAAGAGCCCTATACCAATTTATCTTGTTGGGTCCATTGTGGAGGGAAGAGAAAAATCCCGAATCCACACAGAGAGAGATCCAACATACGGCCTTTACTCACATGTCACGTCGGGTTCAGAAAAAGAAAGCGTGACCCAAGAAGTGCGGGGCAAATGCAGTACACCTACACCAATCTTGATTCTTAATTTTTTTTTTCTTCGTCAGATCATTCTTTTTTTTACAATTTTTTTAATCAAACATTTTTTACAATCCAGCAAAATATTAATATTAATAAACTTACAAAAGAAAGGAAAAAAACCCGATTAAACAAGAAGAACAGAAAAACACAACTAGGAATATAGGGGCAGCAGATATTTACTATTAATTCAGTCGGATTGAATTATGTGCAGGAGTTTTTCCCATATATTATATGAAAGTATAATTTGTTTTTATTTTTAGCTATTCTTAACTCGATTTTCGATAATGAACTATTGGTAAAAACACAAGTGGTGTACAGTGTATCAAATTATAATGTCAACCAGCTAACCAATCAGAGGAAGCGTTCGAGGTCATTGTGCGGGAAATTGCTAATTTTTATCTTGTATATATATTTATCACAATTAATGTTGAATTTGATTTCTTCCCTTCAGGGTATAGCCGGATCAGCTGGACCCTTAGGCGCTCCCGGACCCAATGGCAAGCGAGTAAGTTTACTAGGTTTTTTATTTCTATGACTTTATGTTCTTTTGTAACTCGCTTTTTATGAAAAACAATTGATTCAACAACTGATAGGAATTGCCCAATTTAAAATAAGTCTTTTCTCTTTCTTTCTCTTTATTTCTCTCTCTTTTCTTTCTTTCTTTCCTTCTTTCCTTCTTTCTTTTTTTTTTTTTTTTNTTTTTTTTTTTTTTTTTGATGATCTAAAGTTAAACATATTTTGGTCTGTCTTGTTTTAGGGCAAAACTGGATTGCCTGGACAACCTGGTTCTCAGGGACCCATCGGACCACGAGTAAGCAACTAACCATTGTCATCTAATTAACTTATGTTGAATGATTGAAAGTGTTGATGATATTCACTATCAGCGTAGAAGATCGATACTTCGAAACTAAAAGGCAAATTTTTCCAAAGAAGTTTGTAAGGCGCCTTACCCGCCACATTGTGAACCTGCTCTCGAGCAGTTCATATATAATAATTTAAGTGATCAAATGGATCAGATTAATTAAGTACAAAACTCCCCAATTACTTCAATTCCACGGAACCGCCAACATTTATAAATCTGTTTAGTGCGCCCGCTTCTGGTAAAGAATATAATTGAAGGGTAAGTGTCATTGTGTCCATGCCAACCAAGGCACGGCTCACCCTGGCAACTGTCACAATTCCTAGAATAGTATTTTGATATTTACCGGTATACCAAGTAAGGGAGGGTGGGATAAAGAGAGCTGTAGGACCAACTAACTTACAACCAAGCAAGCCTGACAAACAGCAAATTCCTTGAGCAACGACGAGGGAAAAGCAAATACGAGAATGCACATGTGATTTAAAACCGCTGACAATCACTCTCTCCCTGTTAACTTTGATTGATTGATAATCAAATCAATTGATTCAAGTTGTTATTCTTTTTAGGGGCACTCTGGACCACGTGGTCTTCCCGGAGCCGACGGAGCGCCCGGACGAAAGGTATGGTAACTAACTCGCGTGCTTCCATCCTAAACTTTGATTGGATGTTTAAAGTGTCATCCAACAGGCTAAAAGAATGATGATGAAGACATTGTATTTTATGCTACTACTGGAGACTAGATTCCCGACCACACCCAGACAGAAGCGCTCTAAGGCTGGAAATGCGCCAAATTTGAAGAAAATGATGATGATTCTATCCAATGCTTGGCAATGAAGTAATTGTTTTTTTGTTTGTGTTATAGGGGGCAGTTGGAGCCAACGGAAACCCCGGATATCCTGGCGCCAAGGGAGACAAGGTACACGACTTTCGTCATATCTACTTAACACATATGAATCTTGACAGCTTTGAGCAGAGTGGAGAATATCAAGAAAAATGTCATTCCTCAGGGATACTTAAGCCAGCGTCACCGTACGAGAGTATACATGGGGGTGGGGGGTCTTCGTAACATCGTAACATTGAACATTAAAAAAATAAATGCGTATTTTACTCAGGGTGCCCTACATGGTTCTTTAGGTCCCTTTTCGTCACCCGACCCTTTCGTGCCCTTCACGTTCTTTTCTTTTCATTATTGTTAGTATTTTTTAGTATTTATTTATTAGTTATGGCTGTATTTACTTTTTATAACCTTCACAAGCCCACCAGCCTATTCAAGTAACATCGCCTTTTAAAAGTAGCTTCTTGTTATTCTTTTGTAGGGTTCTAGTGGTAAGAACGGAGAACCTGGTCGCCCAGGAGGAAGAGTAAGTTTCTATTTGAAATAAATCATTATAATTCTAGAAAATCAAAGTTTTTAATTGTCTGGCCTTCACCAACGAGCCAAATCCTTCCTTTAAGCTCGAGATGGGGGTTTCAGCATTCGTTTGAGGCGCACGAGGCCATTGGTTTATTCCTAGGCCACTCCATAGGCCTGCTCGGACTTGAACAGGATGCATTGTGGTCTAGCTTGGGTACAAACAACACTGTGTATGGCATGATGAACAAAAGATATTCACTATCTTAGAAAAGTCTTGTAAATTGGCCATAAAGTGAGTGAGGAGAAGCAGTTTGTAGACTTCTGCAAATCGTTAGACCTTCAGGTTTTGTTTGATACGGGCGTTAAACTCTTTGCATTGCTCTGAGTTTGACATACTGGGAAATCATGAATATGTCATTAATGTTGTTGATTTGCTTTGTGTAGGGACCACCTGGTCAGCCTGGACAAGTCGGCCGTGAAGGAAAGATGGGAGCACCGGTAAAGATTTCATTTGTCTTAACTTGGTAAATTGCACTTTGCTTAAGTTGACTTTTTATTATCATTTTGTTTCAGGGAGATGATGGTGTTGATGGTAAACCGGGAGTTATTGGAGAACAGGTAAGACAGGGATTGGAATCAAATAGATTGGAATAAATGGATGGATGGACGGACGGACGGACGGACGGACGGATGGATGGATGAATGGATGGATGGATGGATGGATGAATGAATGAATGAATAAGGTGGCAAGTGAATGAATGAAGTAATGAATGACTCATGAATTAGAGAATAAATCAATAGCTATATTACCACTGAAACAAACATAAATCGCATATAACATGCTGTATATCAGTGACTAATATATTATTGTTAATTATATTTATTGATTTTCTTTATTAATTACTCAGGGTATCGCCGGTACCCCAGGACCCCCAGGTGTGTCTGGAGCCAAGGGAGCCACTGTAAGTACATCATATTAGCATACCTCTTAGCCTCTACCTTAAAGGACCATTAAATCAAATGCTGAAATACTTGAAAAAGCAAAAGTGGCATTTCACTTCCCTATCAAAGATATTTTGATGCAGGCAAAAAAACAGCCAGTCAGAAATTTGATAATTGTCGAACTTTAAGAGTAGGTAGGCTTGTTCTACTTCTTGAAACTTCCTGAATTTGAAATCTATTTTTCAAATCAAAGATCTGTAAAACCCAAGGGCACTTGAAAAGCCCTCGAAAAATGGTCTGCGGCAATTTAAATGTCAGTTAATAACAAGACTAGGCTGTATCACTTCAAAATTTTGGAATATACCTTTTTAGCTTCGTACGCAGGTTGCCCATTCCAGATCGCATGACATTCCCTTGAGAATTGTTCTTTTATGACGAGCATGTTAAAAATTTACACATGAAACTATCAACTCTCAAGAGTGGCATCACATGGTCTGAAATGTGCACAACAAAAAACAACAACACGGTAAAAAGGTCTATTGCTCATGCTTTTGAAGGTTTGAAGAATCTGGTATCATTTTGTATAGAACTGTAACTGTACTGTTACCTAGAAAGTCATCACATAGCGTTCTTTTTAGGTCAGCTTATCCTATATTCTTATTGTTTTTCAACTCCAAGGAGAGGGACCCCCACCTCTCTGAAAAGTCATATGAAAATCTCACTATTTTAAATTGTTTTTCTATAGGGCGATCCTGGTAAAGATGGAGACCGAGGCCCTACTGGACCAGAGGGATCAAAGGTGTGTTGCATAGGGAGGGGAGGGAGGGGAGTAAAGTCCCCTTCTTTAATAATTCATTTTTTCATTTAATGGATATTGGTTGAAAATGTGAGAGAAAATAAAATTCATTCTAAGATAGCACTATTTTCATTGCTTCGCACTGATCGAGTCGCGAGAGGGAAATCAGGCAATAGACTCGCCGTCAATCACATGAATTGCTCGGTACCTTTGTATTCTCTGATTGACAGCAGTGTATTGCCCGATTTCCCGGTTGCAGCTGTTGTCCCGATCAGCACGTAGCAATGAAAACAGTGGTAAGTCGATTGTGTTGATGACTTAGTGATGGAGTTCTGGTCGATATGAGGGGATATCGAGCCATAAAGTGCTTTTCCCCATACTATCCAATACCTCTTGCGTCACGACAACTAATATCCAATCACTTGTCATATTTTATTCTCATTTTAAGAATGTTCATTGCTTTGTAGGGAGAGGCTGGTCAACCTGGTAGCCGTGGTCTTCCTGGCATTGCTGGAAAAGATGTAAGAAATTTTGACGTCTTTTTTTCCGGTTTATATTTGTTTGGTGGTTTATTTAATCAAATGGTTAATTATCGATTTTTTTATTCTGCATATTGTTGAGTAATTTATTCGTTTGCTATTACAATATCAATTTATTTCCATTAGTAAATACAGAGTAAAAAAATGTTACTGTTGGTATATATTTTTTGGGGAAATGCAAGATGTAAGTCAAATAAACTATGATAATTTATTTGAAGGGATCTCCTGGAGAACGAGGAGAGCGTGGACCAGCAGGACCTCAGGGACCACAGGTAACCCATTATGAAGTTTTTGCAACATAACTAATACAGTGGCGTATCCAGAATGATTTCAAGGGGGATGGCTGGTACTAGAAAAGCATTACATAGCATCCTTTTTAGGTTTTGCATCATCCTTTATTCTTGTTATTTTCAACCTCAAAGGAGGATGGCTAGCCACCCAATCCACCTCCCTAGATCCGCCCTTGTAATAGGTTCAACGTCCCTTGGTTACCGTTGCTATATCCCACAACCTCAACGCAATAACTAGAATATCTTAGAATTTAAGATAATTTATCTGTTCGCGTAAAATAAATCGTAATTTTTTTCAATTATTTCATAAGCTGCAAAAACAAAGCAAAATTGCCTTATTATCCTTGTAGTACTCTTTAAAACAGATGCTGTGTAGTTGTTTGTGGGACAAGATTTTAATTCCACTNGGATGAATTGATGGATGGATGAATGAATGGACGGACGGACGGACGGACGGATGGATGGACGGACGGACGGACGGACGGACGGACGGACGGACGGACGGACAGACGGACGGACGGATGGATGGATGGATGGATGGATGGATGGATGGATGGATGGATGGATGGATGAATTGATGGATGGATGAATGAATGGACGGATGGATGGATGAATGAATGAATGAATAAGGTGGCAAGTGAATGAATGAAGTAATGAATGACTCATGAATTAGAGAATAAATCAATAGCTATATTACCACTGAAACAAACATAAATCGCATATAACATGCTGTATATCAGTGACTAATATATTATTGTTAATTATATTTATTGATTTTCTTTATTAATTACTCAGGGTATCGCCGGTACCCCAGGACCCCCAGGTGTGTCTGGAGCCAAGGGAGCCACTGTAAGTACATCATATTAGCATACCTCTTAGCCTCTACCTTAAAGGACCATTAAATCAAATGCTGAAATACTTGAAAAAGCAAAAGTGGCATTTCACTTCCCTATCAAAGATATTTTGATGCAGGCAAAAAAACAGCCAGTCAGAAATTTGATAATTGTCGAACTTTAAGAGTAGGTAGGCTTGTTCTACTTCTTGAAACTTCCTGAATTTGAAATCTATTTTTCAAATCAAAGATCTGTAAAACCCAAGGGCACTTGAAAAGCCCTCGAAAAATGGTCTGCGGCAATTTAAATGTCAGTTAATAACAAGACTAGGCTGTATCACTTCAAAATTTTGGAATATACCTTTTTAGCTTCGTACGCAGGTTGCCCATTCCAGATCGCATGACATTCCCTTGAGAATTGTTCTTTTATGACGAGCATGTTAAAAATTTACACATGAAACTATCAACTCTCAAGAGTGGCATCACATGGTCTGAAATGTGCACAACAAAAAACAACAACACGGTAAAAAGGTCTATTGCTCATGCTTTTGAAGGTTTGAAGAATCTGGTATCATTTTGTATAGAACTGTAACTGTACTGTTACCTAGAAAGTCATCACATAGCGTTCTTTTTAGGTCAGCTTATCCTATATTCTTATTGTTTTTCAACTCCAAGGAGAGGGACCCCCACCTCTCTGAAAAGTCATATGAAAATCTCACTATTTTAAATTGTTTTTCTATAGGGCGATCCTGGTAAAGATGGAGACCGAGGCCCTACTGGACCAGAGGGATCAAAGGTGTGTTGCATAGGGAGGGGAGGGAGGGGAGTAAAGTCCCCTTCTTTAATAATTCATTTTTTCATTTAATGGATATTGGTTGAAAATGTGAGAGAAAATAAAATTCATTCTAAGATAGCACTATTTTCATTGCTTCGCACTGATCGAGTCGCGAGAGGGAAATCAGGCAATAGACTCGCCGTCAATCACATGAATTGCTCGGTACCTTTGTATTCTCTGATTGACAGCAGTGTATTGCCCGATTTCCCGGTTGCAGCTGTTGTCCCGATCAGCACGTAGCAATGAAAACAGTGGTAAGTCGATTGTGTTGATGACTTAGTGATGGAGTTCTGGTCGATATGAGGGGATATCGAGCCATAAAGTGCTTTTCCCCATACTATCCAATACCTCTTGCGTCACGACAACTAATATCCAATCACTTGTCATATTTTATTCTCATTTTAAGAATGTTCATTGCTTTGTAGGGAGAGGCTGGTCAACCTGGTAGCCGTGGTCTTCCTGGCATTGCTGGAAAAGATGTAAGAAATTTTGACGTCTTTTTTTCCGGTTTATATTTGTTTGGTGGTTTATTTAATCAAATGGTTAATTATCGATTTTTTTATTCTGCATATTGTTGAGTAATTTATTCGTTTGCTATTACAATATCAATTTATTTCCATTAGTAAATACAGAGTAAAAAAATGTTACTGTTGGTATATATTTTTTGGGGAAATGCAAGATGTAAGTCAAATAAACTATGATAATTTATTTGAAGGGATCTCCTGGAGAACGAGGAGAGCGTGGACCAGCAGGACCTCAGGGACCACAGGTAACCCATTATGAAGTTTTTGCAACATAACTAATACAGTGGCGTATCCAGAATGATTTCAAGGGGGATGGCTGGTACTAGAAAAGCATTACATAGCATCCTTTTTAGGTTTTGCATCATCCTTTATTCTTGTTATTTTCAACCTCAAAGGAGGATGGCTAGCCACCCAATCCACCTCCCTAGATCCGCCCTTGTAATAGGTTCAACGTCCCTTGGTTACCGTTGCTATATCCCACAACCTCAACGCAATAACTAGAATATCTTAGAATTTAAGATAATTTATCTGTTCGCGTAAAATAAATCGTAATTTTTTTCAATTATTTCATAAGCTGCAAAAACAAAGCAAAATTGCCTTATTATCCTTGTAGTACTCTTTAAAACAGATGCTGTGTAGTTGTTTGTGGGACAAGATTTTAATTCCACTAAGAAAACTTCTGTTATCGTGTTTGGTTCGCTGTTGTCTGAGTCGCCACGAATTATTGATATGACGAACGTCTCGACCATATAGGCAACATTATGTTTTTTTATCATGTATCACAGTTTACTTTGTTTTATTCTCAAGGGCTCAGCTGGATCAGCAGGATCACCCGGACAATCGGGTAAACCCGGAGAGGCGGTAAGTATTAAGTACTACACTACATAATATACTTAACGCATGCTGTTTTGGAGAATACTTTGAACACTAAGCTGTCCAATCCCGGTAACTATTTCCATGATATAGATAAATTTACATTTTTTAACTTTTTGCGGAAGGAAGTAAAGAGAATGATCCTATGACAAACAATCGATTTGTGTTCGGCCGTGAATCGATTCCAGGTCGTATTGATGTAAATGAGTGCTATTAGCAGTGATAGTAGATGATCGAACGAATGAACGAATGTACTTTATTTCAAGAGGGTAACACACTACAGTTACAATTTAAAAAAAAAAATCATACTGTTAACCCAGTGGCCCTCAAATTATGATGATGATGATGACACATTTTGATTACTGCAGCGTCGTGTGGGGAAATTGTGGCAAAACCCTGGCCCGCCAAATTACAAAAGCTACAAAATCGTGCGGCCAGGATTTTAACGTTTTCCAGCTATGACACTTATGTCGATGATCTCTTTGAATTACAATGATAAACAATCGATTGATGTTCGGCCGAGAATCGATACCAGGTCGTATCGATATGTAAATGAGCGCTAGTATCGGTGACATTACCAAGTATACTATTCCACCGCATAATTTCTTTCTATTTTTTTCCTTCCAGGGACCTCGTGGCGAGAGAGGTACTGATGGAAAACCTGGTGCCAGGGTAAGAAAAAAAAWTTTTATCGAGAAGAAACGTTAAATCACGTAAACTTTCTCAGTGAATAAACTCTAGCTAGTAATACTAATCCTACCATAATGTTCGTCTTTTTAGGGATCCCCTGGAGCAGTCGGTGAAATGGGAGCTTCTGGTTTAGCGGTGAGTAGAGCTGATCTTTTACACCTAAAATATACAATAATTAATATAAAAGACACTTGTACGTAATTTCGTATTAGTGGTAAAAAATATTCTATAATATTGTGTTTGTTAATGGTGATTCACATGAAAACAATATAAGCCATTGCATTGTTACGGCCAACGGTGCACTGTATGTGCTAGAAGTACCGCACATTTTGTAGTAGTCATTAGACATTAGGTAAGGGATCGAAGGTACAATTTTTATTGGAGGGAAAGGGCTTGGGGATTCGCATTAAACTTTTGAAAATGGTCGTAGCCCTCCCTCTTTTACTCAGTAAGAAATTCGTGACCTTCCTATTAAGTTAACAAGGAAACAGCCTTCTTCGAAATAAAAGGTTTTTTAATAACTCTCCCCTCTGAAGTCCCAACCCGCCCCTCCCCTCCCCTCTCAAATATGAAATGTTCCTTCCCGAACCATTATTCAAGTCCCAATTTTATTGATTCCCATATTCACGAAAACAGATAACTCTGACTTGTAAACGTGGCCTAAAGGCAGAACAGTAGGATCAATATTCAAGCAAATCCTTTCTTCAAATTCTTTCTTAAATATTTTCTTTTTTTACTAACAGGGATTACCCGGAATCGATGGCGAGCGTGGAGCGGCTGGAGCAGATGGTGCACCCGTACGTTTTTATATACTATTATTACACTCTTATTCTTGATCACCAAAGTCATTTTTTTAGCACAACTGAGGAGGATTCTAAGTACAGGCGCACTCGCACATTCTTCGCCTGCAGAGTGTGGCTTAAGATCGGGGCGGATTTTTTGTATGAGTCGTTCGTTTCTCCTTGTATGGCTGACGTAGTACATGATGTTCATGCAAGGATACTTACCTATTACATGCCTTGTAAACGTAGTCCATTTTGTACAGAACGGATAGAAAAGAAAGAGATGACTATTTCGAGATTGACATCATAATAAGTAGTATTCTAAACGTGTCCAGGGTCGTCCTCAGGATTTTTGTCTCATTTTCTTTTGGACACGCAAGAATTACGTACACTACATTTACACCATGTGCAAGGGCGAGTTCCTTAATACCTGGCCGAAATTCCCCCTGCTAAAACAAGATTGTTTCTTCTTATTTTTAATCCCCCAATATTTTATAATGAGTCTAATGTATCTTTTTACTATTTAGGGTGAACGCGGACCAGAAGGTCCTGCCGGACCACCAGGAATTCCCGGTCTTCAAGTAAGTAAAAACAAAATTAGAGTTCCTTCAGATCTGGTGGAAAATTTCCCCTCAGGACGGGCGCGTTCATTGTCAATTATAAAATAACTGATATAAATCTCGCAATCTGATTGGTTGGGAGTACGTGCTTCATGATAACACACATCGCGCGTGCGCACCTTCTTATGTGTTATCAATCCAAAATAACAGTGATTTGTATTTTATAAGAATTAAAATATTGCTTTCTGTGCTGTGCGTGTTCCATGAGAACATATAGCACGAGTTCGCACCTTATTTATTACCAATCCAAAAGAACTTTTATCATGCTTTGCATTTTACAAAACAATCAAAATGTTGTTCTGTGCTGTGTGCTGCTATGAAGTACTAGGGAACTGAAAGAACACTCGAGAAGTATTGAAAAGGACACCGCTATGCATTGTGCTTCTCCTAACACTTCTCTCGTGTTCTGCCAACTCCCGCGTGCTCTGTTAATGCACACAGCACGCGCGCGCGTTTTCTATTTGTTCGTCATCGTACCTTTAACTCAAAGATCCTGTTCAGAGTTTCTTGTATTGAGAGAGTGATTAACAATAAACATTTAAGCGTTTTATTTTTCATTCTGTAATAGGGAGCTACTGGAGCAGTAGGACATCGAGGACCAGCAGGAGCGAAAGGATCTAGGGTAATTACAACAAACGACGAGATACTACATTGAAGCATTTTTTCCCCTGATGTTTGTCAACATTGAAGATTTTCAGTTTATTTTGCATTGATTTGTTTTTACTGATGTTACTGACAGGGTGAACGTGGAAGAGTAGGGCCTCCAGGTATCGATGGAAAAGATGGAGAACCAGTGAGTTGCACTTTGTTTCACGAAAATTTTTATTCAAGTCTTGCCTTGGTTTCCTTTCTTTCTTTCCCCCTACTTTCATTCCTTTCTTGTGTTCTTGGTGCCTTCCTAAGGCTGCCTTCATTTGCCTGCCTAATTTTTTCCCTTCTTTCTCTGTCTCCAACTTATTCTTCTTCTCTCCTATCTAACATGCTACGTTAAATGTTAAATGTTTGTTCCTTTGCATTTTAGGGTCCTGATGGCCAACCTGGCTCCTTGGGACCACAGGGACCAGCGGGAGAAAAGGTTTGTTGTAACTCAACTGGCTTTGTATTCAAATTCTAGTCGTATTTTATAATTATTTCTCGTTAGTTGCTTAAAGTTCTGTAATACGCTAACAAACGTCCTGGGTTTTTTTGTCGTTAAGGGAGAAGCTGGAACACCAGGAACCAATGGTGTGCCTGGAACCAACGGAGATCAGGTACGACGTGAACGTACAGTGTTTTGTTGTGCTTTCTACTAGACGAGAATGATGCTAATGTTAGGAATTCAATTGTGGATCGATAGGGACCACGTGGAATGCCCGGTAACCCTGGTACACCCGGACAGCCTGGACCAATGGTAAGTGTTTCTTCGTTGGATATATGTCGTTTGGTATCTTATGATGAGTCATTTGAATTTACTAATCATTTTAATTTCTGCATGTTCCGGCCATTACCATCACGTTAATTAACACTTACTAATAGCCTGATTGTCATCCATCAACAGCATCATCATTATCATCATCATCATCATCATCAGTGTATTATCAGTACCATATTTGACAGAATTATTACCATCAAATTAATCATTCATTTGTTAATAGTTTGATTGTCATTCATCATCATTATCATCATTATCATTGTAACATCAGTATATCAGTAACATCACATTGGCAAAGTAATTAGCATCATCTATTAGTCATCACTTATTATTGATAGCATGATTGTCATCCATCAACACCATCATCATTATCATCATTATCATTGTAACATCAGTATATCAGTAACATCACATTGTCAAAGTAATTAGCATCATCTATTAGTCATCACTTATTGATAGCATGATTGTCATCCGTCAACACCATCATCATTATCATCATCATAGTGTATCATCATCAGTGCATCAATAACATCACATTGACAAAGCTATTACCATCGTCTATTAGTTACACAGTACACTTATCGATAGAATGATTATCACCACCATTATCGTCTGCATAAGAAGCAGTAGTCCGAACGCCATCAGCATAAAGATTATCATCATCCTCTATGCACGCATTCTCAAATGTTACCCTTATCAAGAAGTTTGGTCTGTTGTTTTTGATACCTTGTCTTATCATTAGGGATCCGCTGGACCGATCGGTCCTCCTGGGCCCAGAGGACCTACTGGTGTCAAAGGAGGTAAAGGTGCAAGAGGTGGCATTGGGAAACCAGGTGTCACTGGAACATTAGTAAGTATTCTTTACTATCGATAGGCGTCACCCCCGGTAATAGACCTTTACCACGACGTTCTTGCTAGGAACCGCACAAACTGGGTCGAATTAGCATTCCAGTGCATCGGGTCTATTTCGTCCTCTAAATCCACCCCAGAATGCACTGCAATGCCAACTTCCCGACCCTGTTTTTTCCTCAAACTCGGAATGGCTGATATTTTTTGCAGAATTCTCCTCGAAGATTTAAACTCTTAATCATAGATAAATAATGCAAAATAGTATAAAATACTAAAAAATTCGTGGTCCTCAGCGGCCTAACTTTCAATGAAACCTGGCATAGAAATTAAAATCATGAACCATTAATATATCTTTGATAATTTTGAGATATTAATGAATAGTTTTTCTTGGTATAACAGGGCCAACGCGGATTGTCTGGATCCAAGGGTACAGATGGATCACCGGGAAGACAGGTAACCCATAAACAAGTTATGGAGTGAATCTGCTGAAGTTAATCATTGTTGATTGGTTGATATTTTCTATTTTTGCAGGGCTTACCCGGCCAACCTGGAAATCCAGGCTCGCCAGGAACACCAGGACAACCTGTAAATAATTAATTGTTCGTTTTTGTCTGATTATATTTGACTGTCTGTCTATTTGTTTGTCTGTCTTTCTATCTGCCTGCCTTTTTGTCCATCTACCCTACCTTGTTCTCATTGGTTTCTTTTGTCTTATTCTCATTATATAAACACTCCTTTCTACCACCTCTTTCTCTTTTACTCCGACGGACTAGCGTCCGAAATATCAGTACGTTTTTTCATCTTTTCACGGTGTATAATTTACCTTTTTATCATTACTGTTTCATTAGAGACACCGACGCAGCTCACACTAGTTTTTAGCTAGTTATCTCTTCTTTTTGACCATCTGTTTAGTTTTCGATCCATCTGGATTTCGGTCTTGTCTCTATATGTCTGTCTTTTTGACCATTTGTCTGTCTGTCTGTCTGTTTGTCAATCTACCTGTCTGTCTGTCTATTTACCTGCCTGTCTGTCTGTCTGTTTGTCCATCTGTCTGGTCTTTGATCTGCCTGTACCAATGTTGGTCAGGTCTGTGCATTTTTCTTCTTGTCTGTTTGTCTGTCTGTCTATCCACCCCCAATCTGAATAATTATAATCACTTTTTCAATAATATTATTCATGTTCTAATGTTGTTTTATTTACTTTATAGGGTCCATCTGGCCCTGCAGGTGCTCCAGGACTTGATGGTATCAACGGAGCCAAGGTAAGTGCATTCATCAAGTCTTTCAGTATCTTCTGTAAGAATGTCCCATAAAAGATGAAAATACACGACACGACGAGCATGCTTTCGAATCGACGAAGAAGGATGTCACTGGGACATCTACTGTTCTATACCAGCAACATGGCCGTATTTGCGTAGCGTAAGAGTCAACTTACATTATGTTTGTACGACCTCAAAAACTACCAAAAATGTTTTGTTTCTTTAGCTTTCGTTAATAGAGCTTTTGCACCATGATCACGTGGCGGCAGCCATGTTAGATGGCAGGAACCRTACGATCGTTTTAAATGAGAAAGAATTCAATTCCCGAGAGCAAAGGGATTTTATTGTTCTGCCATCTAACCACAGGTAGCCCAAGCTGAATTATAACCTGCACCTGATGTTGTAAAACCAGTGTTTAAAACTTTAGGGCTACAAAAGCTCAGACTATTGTAAATTTGATGGACTCAGAGAACACGACAGGGGTATACGAGATTTTAGATTTTTTTCTTGTTAACGATTTATTACGTGTTCCTTTATAGGGCTCAACTGGTGAACCAGGACGACCAGGACGTGATGGAGAACCAGGACAGCCTGTAAGGAAATAACAATTATACATACATTCTTCCTTGTACCCGCCTACGCGCAGATGTTCTTAGTGTCTGTCACGCAACATTTCCCTCCCCAAGCAGGGAGAGAAACGTTGCGTGACAGACACTAAGGACGTCTGCTTAGGACGCTATGTTCAGTGAGGATAGAAAATAATGGTGAAATATTAATGCAACTATACTGTAACCTGGGCCACTTACACCAGTTAGACAAAATTAGACAAAAGAACCAATTAAAATGTAGAATGAAAACAATACGTTCCAAATTTGGGTAGTGGAGCCAATCAGAAACCTAGACTGCACGAGAATTGTACTTTGAAACTGACAGCCATCGTCATTTTCGCGTGGGAATAAAAGGATATGTTGAAACGCTTTTGTTTTCTGCTGCTTTCTGATTGGCTCCATTACTCAAAGTTGGAATTGTTTTAATTCTACGATTTGATTGGTTCTCGCTGCTAAGTGGCCCCGGTTATAGTAGCTGCACTGTAATAACACATGCATTGTTCTGTGAATATAGAAAATAGTTATAAAATTTGTAAAATCAATAGAACTGTGAGCGAGAAAATACGGCAAATTCGTTATCGTAGCCGTAACTACGTGTTGCCCGTGATTGGATGATTCACAATAGGAAACATGTTGTTACATGCTGTACTGCGTGTACGCTTTATACATGATCCCCTTGTTCAAGAGAATTGGGCAACCCTCCCATTAAGATATTCCTGATCGAGGCATAATTGCAATTTCATGTTTTATTAACCTAAGTAATTCATGAATTGTTTTAGGGAACTCCAGGCCAAGATGGAGAGCCAGGATTGCCTGGCCCCGAGGGACCAGTGGTAAGTTCATCACTTTTGATCGAGTCTTCTTGTTTACCTTGGTTACACCTTGCAGTAACGAATGTTTGTGCCTTATAACTAGGGACAAGTAGGACTGTCTGGTCTGTCTGGAATTAAGGGAGAGAAGGGACCAGCTGTAAGTACTAATAATCATCAATAATGATTTAATAATTATAATAGATTGCTTCTTTAGGCTTCAGGTAATGCTGGCTTATAGGCATCCTCAAGAGGACGTAGCCGCCATGTTGGCGGACATACTTAACACAAAATCGTGGCTATCTCATGATAACACATTAAACCTTAATTGACTACTTCGAGGAATTAAACGACGGGCGATCTTGGATCGCAAGGCATTATGGGGCGACCAGGTGGCAAATAAAGCTTTGTTGCAGTAATGACGTCGATCTCAAGAAAATACAACAAAAGAACAAAAGATAAATCAAGACGGCACATCCCTTCCCTTTACCCATATAAGAAAGACAAACTTACAATACCCTGTATATTTTCCGTCATCTTTGTTTTGTTTTGCCCCCCCCCCCCTCCCCCGTCTTCCCCCCGGCAACATAGACACCGTATCGTCGAAGTAGTCCATTAAACGACATCAAGTCGAAGCGTCTTGTGTTTTTGAAGATTCTTCTTCAAAAACGCAAGACACTTCGTTGATTTTATTACCATGCGTCATTTAGGGCACCCCTGGCCGAACCGGAAACCGAGGACCTGCCGGCGCCCCAGGCATCAAGGTAAACCATAATAAAGACAATAAGGGACAGAGCATTAGATAACTTAAACGGGACTTGTGTAAATCCCCAAAAATATATAGAGCAAGCACCGAAAAAAATATCGTGCACCATGAATTCCTTCATCCTCCCCCTCAATTATCTAATGGCCCATCCCCAAGCTATTATTGTATATAACATTGTCTTTAATCTTTATCAGACATTTCAATCCAATTGAGATATTCCTGTAATTTGAAGTAGGTTTTAATTAATCATTTGCGTTTTTTTACGTTGTTTAGATATCACACGCTTGTTTAAGTTTCACACGCTAGTCTTAATTCGACAAAAAAAATTCCATTATCTTATTCACTCGATCGAAGAGCCGCTACTACAGACAAAAATAAGAAGATAGAATGAAATAGGACTAATAGTATTATTTGTGTTTCTTTGTAAGTTTTATGCATGTTTTTCTCTTTAGGGTGAACGAGGACCAGCTGGTAAAGATGGGCGCAATGGAGAACCTGGTCCTGTTGTAAGTACTCAAACTTCTACTTCTACTTCTTCTTCAAGATACAGCACTCCAGCTGAGTTGACCTTCAGAACGAACTCGAGGTCAACCAATAAGAATTGAGGACTCGACATCGTGTTTTGATTAGCATTTTCCTTGATTCTGCCAAGAGAACCCATGAAATATGAATTCTTCATCCTTTAAATCAATCGTAAATGCTAGTCGAACTCATGGCGGGATTCCCTTTCAATCGTCAAGAGAAATCTGCATTGTACTAAATTGTCTCTGATAGGAAAATGCTAACCGAAAATAGTTGACCCTTAATTCCTTTCGGGGAATGCGGCAGCCCACTCAGCTGGTCAAAACAAAGTCTGTGAAAGTTGTTACCTGTTGTATGTCAAGCCCGAAATGCACTATGGGCGATGTGAATGCAATCAGCGAAAGGTCACAACGATATGATAATTTTCAAAACTTTGTCTGCACGTTTTTCCGGAATAGCTGACATTATATACAAAAAATAACTGTTCTAAGTCTCGCGTTCTGATTGGTTGGGAGCGCGTGCTTTATGAGAGCACACAGCACCACCGCACACTTTCAGTTTCGTCATTCATGTTATTTGTATTTTATAAAAGAAATAAAAAACTTGCTTGCTGTGCTGTGTGAAGTTATATAGCACTTGGGGATTAGCAGATTATTCGAGAAGTGTACAGAAGCACTCCGTTACGCGTCGTGCTTCTCCTAACGCTTCTCTCGTGTCCTGCCAACCCCCGCGTGCTTTATAACTGCACACAGCACGCGCGCGCATTTTCTACTTCTTCAATAAACACTAGATTGGTAAGCAACATGCAACAAAACCTTCACCAAACGTTTTTTGAAATAGCTGTATACGTCGGGGATTGTGGTTACCATTATCAAAAAATATATAGAATTACCTACTCGACTGTTGTAAGCATTATGGACGGAAGCCAAGATTGGCAAGGGAAAATCCACCAACACCCTAGCGCTCTATCACCGTTTGAAATTTGGATGATGATGTATTTAAGGAAAGCAGCAGCAACCATGCAAAGTGTTGAGTCTCATTTGAGTTGCAATTTCGTCCCAATTATTGCTAGTATTACCATTATTTCTTTTTTCCTTTACAAATTGAAATTTAATTATTTGAAATGTTTTAGGGACCAAGAGGACAACCTGGACGTGCCGGTGAACTTGGCAGCCCCGGAGAAAATGTAAGACATTAAGAATTTATTTTATTTAGAAAAAATTAAGAAATTATGAAATTAAAGATTTAAAAAATAATTTATTTTACGAAAAAAAAAAAAAAAAAACATTGAAGGAAGATGATCAGAAAAATTACCGAAAAAGGTAAAAAACTGAATTGCCATGATTTGTTTTTCTTTTAGGGCCAAAACGGTACTAAAGGTACTCCCGGAACACCTGCTGCTAATGGGCTTAAGGTAAGCCACTTTTCATCATTTGAATGAAGTGAGTGTTGTATGATTAGCAGATCTAGACAGAAAGACAGTGGCAGATCCAATGGTGATTCAATAGGTTCCATGGAACCCCTCTTTGTGAGATCTTGTGAAGGCGATCATGTTTTTCTTTATGCGCAGGAAAATGACAATTGAAYCCCCCTCCCACCCCACCCCCCATTGTGAAGCCGATCACACAAGCGTTTTCTGCTTGGCCGCCATTTTGGAACTCCCCTTTTTTTAAATCCTGGATACGCCTGTTAGAGCAACTTACTCATTAGTCCTTGTTGACAGAATTATATTTTACATTGTTTGATTATGAAACCTTTAAAGCTGTCGAAGCCCTGAAGCAACCTCTAGATTGATCAAACTCATGGCATGGTTAACTCACAGATCGAATTGGAATTTAGATTGTTAGTTTTTAAGTGAACCCGGAGAAAAACCCTCGAATCCAGGAAAAACATCAACAAACTCCATTCTTATGTGATGCTGAGTCTGGGAATCGAACCGAGCAGTTGAAATAAAATTAAACCCATTCTGCTATTGTAGTAGAGTGTTCGGCGGTACGTCCCAATGCTTTGAATGACAATCGCAAAGTGAAAACTACGGAAAGCATTGCGCCTGAAATAGATAAGATATCTGTCTTGATTGGAGCTGAGTGGTACTAATATCTAGTTAGAAATGACTTCAATTAGCAAATTATGTTTTGTTTTCGAATGATAATCTTTGTATTTGGTTGGTAGGGAGAACAAGGTGCGCCTGGAGAGCCAGGTCTAGCAGGAGCGCCTGGAGTTGTTGGTCCTTCTGGACCCGAAGGACCTGTTGGACCTACTGGTTTGATGGGACCAAAGGTAAACGATTATTTAGTCTGATGTTTAATAGAGAGCAAAAGATGTTGCAAAAAGATCTGCGAGAAACTGAATGAAAGTACTTGTTTCGACTGCAAAATATTGGATCGTGCTTATGACTATGCTATGACGTCTCTTTCATTCAGATGACGTCAAAATACTTTATGTTGTTCATGACGTCACATTCATTGGATTCATGACGTCAAAATAATATCATGTTATGACGTCATTTTCATCATCATATGACACCAAAATAGTTTGTTGTTCATAACGTCACATTCATTGGATTCAGATGACGTCAAAATAATATCATGTTATGACGTCACTTTCTTCATCATATGACATCAAAATAGTTTGTTGTTCATGGCTCATGGTTCATGGGTTCACATTCATTGGATTCAAATGACTTCAAAATAAAATAATGCCATGACGTCACTTTCATTATCATATGACGTCAAAATATGGTAGGAATTGAAGCGCGCCCATGGTGTCAGTTTTGAATGCATCAAAGACAGCAAATCTCTGTAAAGAAATAAAAGAATATTTTACCTCCTTTTTTCATTTATATTTTATTATTATTTATTTTTACCTTCTTCATTAGCAAAGAATTTTAATGACTTTGTTTGTTTTAGTTTTCTTGTCATTTATTCATGAATTGATTGGCTTTAATGGGTCTTTAGGGAGAACGTGGATTGGACGGCAAGGATGGTGCGCCAGGACGAAGAGGGCCACAGGTATCGTATTTCGTAGAACTAAATAATCCCTACCTTTTTTTTGGTGAAAACTTTATTTGAATGAGATGGTTAAATTAAAAACATGATTGTATCCTTTCGTAATTGGAGAGCAATCTTTCTTAGTCTTGTACGAAATCACGAAATCGTTTGGTAACCGGATGCATTAATTTTATGTCATTATTGATATACGGCGAAACACTAGTTACATACTGCAGTTTTAAGTTCTCTGTTGCTCAGCTGGTTAGCCTCGACTTTGAGTAGAATATTCATGTGTTTCAGTGAAGGACTGTGGACTTTTAATTTCAAAGCGTTCGTATTGTGGAATAGACTATTTCACAGATCCCGCGGCTCAACCTCAGCCTCGTCAGCGTGTAATATATTCTTTAGAAATTGCCTACAACCTGTGAAATTTTTAAGTGATTTAATTGTTCGTTGATGTGTAAATTCCTTTCATTACTGCGGGCTGTAATCAAATCCTAAAGTTAAACTCATCGTTAATGATGAGCTTGGCGTTAGGTGCTTATTCGGTGGGATGGGCGGAGCCAGGCACAAATAAGCGGTAACCATGGTAACCCTGTCACCACCCACCGAACATCTGTCACATTGACCGCGATCAGTCAATGGAATACTTACCTCTACTTACCTGTACCAGAGGTAAGGATGGCGGGCGGGAAAATTAAAACTCGTGTTGTAGCGTAATAGCGTCGTATAGCGAGTGCTAGCGATAGCGATGGCGAGTAAAGGTTCGCGTGGTTGGCATTAAGCTAGCGTGATCACGTGTGTAGCGTCTTATCGTATTTCGTAATGATAGCTATGATCCATATCTCAGACAGGTCACAGAGATCGACTAGAATAGATTGCGACATGCTATAAACAACTTGCTAGCTGAGTCGATCAACGATAGCGTGAGGTAATAAATGCGTTGACAGCGGAAGATAGCGGTATGCGTCGGGACAACGTTACTGCGAGATGTCATTGACCTCGAGTCTAACTTTGCCTAGATTACGTTTAACCACATAATAATTACATCCTGGCGAGGCTGAGGTTGAGTAACGGGATCCGTGAAATGGCCTATTGTGCATTTTTTTTTTACTTTGTACCGTTGGTATTGAAATGAGACTATTTATAAAAATAGCAACACAGGGAACTAAAAAATTGTCTATTCATGATGGATGAGGTGGGTTTTCTTTAGGTCAAAACCCTGAAGGAAAATTAGGCAACAGAGTTTCATGACTGACTCAATTTATTCTTGTGCTCGTAGAGAAAAGACTGCATTGTTCCTTTATTTGTTTGTTTATTTGTTTTTCAACAGGGTTTAGTAGGTAGTAGTGGTGCTAAGGGAGAACGTGGATTTCAAGGAGAAAAGGTAACAGCTTGATTATGCTTATGGTATATTAATAACCATTATTATGAACCATTATTATGAACCATTATTATGAACCATTATTATGAACCATTATTGTCAGCCATTATTATGAACCATGATTATCAACCATTATTATAAACCATTATTATAAACCATTATTATGAACCATTATTATGAACCATTATTGTCAACCATTATTATGAACCATTATTATGAACCATTATTATTGAACATTATTATAAACCATTATTATGAACCATTATTATTGAGCTTACTAGATAAAAGAAAAATATTTACAAAAAATATATAAATAGAATATAATGGGAAAATTGATGTATATAGTATGTGCCTTGTACAATTATATAAAGCTACAAGATATATATATATATAATATAAAACTAATGATGACTAAAGCGATAGAATATATTGATTAGCAATTAAATGCACCTTTGAACAAGTGTGTTTTTAGTAGAGATTTAAACTTATCAACAGATTCTGCATTTTTAATATGCTGCGGAAGTTTGTTCCACAGTTTAGGAGCAGCGATTGTAAAAGCTTTATACTAATGATTATCCTCTTGGTTCTTGTACAGGGTGACAAGGGCTTTACTGGTAGAGAGGGCGACCCTGGAGCCCCAGGTTCAATGGTAAATACTATAATGCATATGAACTCTCAGTGTCAGGCAATACGATACGCGTTCACTCCTCCAACTCATAGATCCATTATCTATTTTCCACGGATATGACACGAGGATGTCATGAAAACGCGCTGATCGAAGGTGTGGAATAGTTAGCAGTTTTTACACCGACGAACAACCAACGTCCCAAACGTCGGTACAGTTTAACTTTTTTTTAACATTCACTTGTCATATTCAAAACACCAAAACAGTTCCAACTAGTAACCACTAGTCATTCTTATTTACTTGTTGTATTCAGCACACCAAAACAGTTCCAACTAGTAACCAGTAGTCATTCTTATTCACTTGTTGTATTCAACACAGTCCCAACTAGTAACCACTAGTCATTCTTATTCACTTGTTGTATTCAACACAACAACACAGTTCCAACTAGTAACCACTAGTCATTCTTATTCACTTGTTGTATTCAACACAACAACACAGTTCCAACTAGTAACCACTAGTTATTCTTATTCACTTGTTGTATTCAACACGCCAACACAGTCCCAACTAGTAACCAATAGTCATTCTTATTCACTTGTTGTATCAAACACACCAACACAGTCCCAACTAGTAACCACTAGTCATTCTTATTCACTTGTTGTATCAAACACACCAACACAGTCCCAACTAGTAACCACTAGTCATTCTTATTCACTTGTTGTATT